ACAGGCTGGGGGCGCCCCCGCGGCGCCGGGCTCCTGCGAGTCAGTCCCAGCCCCCTTTGCCCGTGTGCCGTGCCGGGCCTGGTTCGGAGCCGGCGCGACACCGCTCAGGACAAACAAGGGCACACCCTGCCCCGGGGCAGCGCATGGGGCTTCACGCGGCATCCGGGGCGGGTCATGGGTCTCGCGCTCGGGCACGTTCAGGCCGGGGCCAATATAGGGGGGCCGGCCCGGCTCGGCTCGGGTGCTGCGGGGCAGGGGCAGCGATTTGCAGCTGGGCACCCCTCACCTGGGCAGCCTGGAGGTGCCTCCCGGGCACCGTGCCGGGGTGGCCCCCCTGGGGTGCGCAGCCAGGCCGCGCAGCTCCCCAGACCCGGCTTGAGACTCACCGGGGTTTTTCTGGAGTCCAGATGCGATGGGAAGTCCAGGTCTGGCCTCTGCCCGGGGTCGATCCTGGGATGTAGACAGGCCCCTGGGCTGGACGCGCGGGAGAGCCCGGCAGGGCCCAAGGGGTTTGGGAGCTGCGGCGCTGCGGGGAGGGGGAGCAGGGCAGGGGCCCGGGCCCAGCTGCTCATGGCCAGACCCGCGGCGGTCGGTGCCTTCCCGGCAGCGTGCGAGGAGCGACTGGTGCCAGGGCTTGGCTTGATTCATGTTCATTGCTGCCCATGAGGAATGCACGCGGCTTCCTCAACTCGGAGCAGGGACGGTCAGGGAGGGGGCGCCGGGCGGGGGCTGGGGTGCAGGGGTGTCCCCGGGGTCTCCAGCCGCTCACCCAGGCGGGTGGTCCCTGCCCGTTGGCCCTGGGGCTTGGCCTTGCTGTTCTCTTGGCTGGATTTTGGCTGGCCGTGGCCCCGATCCTGCTGGCTGCCCCGAGCGGGCAGCCCCCCTGCCTGGAGACGCTCCCCCGATCGGGGCCAGGTCAGGAAACACCGTGGGGGAGCAGCAGCTCCAGGGCCCCCCTCGCACCCCTGGGCTGGCTCTTGGCAGGGAGCATGCTTGGGCCCGGGTGGTCCCAGGCTCTGAGCCCGGCCCAGTGCGGGGATCGGGGCCCCGCATGTCTCCTGCATCCCGGTCCCGGGTGAGCCTGAGGACACGCAGGGCAGGAGCGGGGCCCCTTGTCACAGCCCTGTGACCCGGCCACACGTGGGGTCCTGCCTCGAGATGCCACCGGGGTGTCTGGCCCTGCCCAGTGTTACCCCCCGCTCCTCACGGGCTGGGGCTGGGGGGGTTGTGCTCGGAGCTCCTGCTCCGGGCGGGCTGAGCCCCGAGTGCCCAGTTTCCACCCCCATGTGCAGATATCGCCGTGGAGCTGCTCCAGAAAGTGGCCCCCAGCCCCATCCGCCGGCTCCAGAAGAAATACGTCTCTCACGTGTCCCGGTGAGAGGGGCTGGG